GTCAAGCAGGTATTCATGGCCTTGCATTTGACCTTACGTTAGATGCTAGCTATAAACTACATACAGCCGAATCTTTGCTGTATCTGTACACTGGGCAATATGATAGAATAAGTGACGAGAACGATTGTATTTAATTCCATATGCGCCTGTAGGTTGGCACTATACTGCGATAAAGTCCGATAAAGTCCGATAAAGTCGAGAGGTTTTGCTGATTTATACTCTATTCCTAAATATTTACATATCTTTGTACATTTTGTCAGTTGTCCACCTGGCATATAGAAAACCAAACGACATGGTTAAAACTAAATGTAGCTTGCATAAACACACATAACACACCTTCTGGTTAAAACTAAATGTAGCTTGCATAAACACACATAACACACCTTCTCCACGTTTCCATTAAGGCCAACAACAACGGAATCCAATTGATTGCAGCACCGCTTCCGGATATCTAGTACTATATTCTCCTCACTGACATCACAGGTTATATCGCGCACATTGACCTTTTCTGGGATAGTCAAGTTAGCAAGCTCTCTGAGCCCGACTGTATGAGAATCATGTCCATGTGCATCTATACACTCCCAGATAACTATTATAGTATGTACAGTTGCGGTCCCTGTATCACTTCCTGGACATGTAGACATACACGTACTACTAGTATCGGCCTCCATTTTGTCCGCACATGTGTGAGAGTTTGTATTAGCATAAACTTTGACTCGTGATGTTTCAGTACCTTGTAGATTCATACATCGTTGATAGCAGACAGTTGTGTGTATGCTATACGCTGGTTGTGTTAACCAGAGAATGGCAGTAATAGACTTGTTATCCTGATACGCTGTCAGATGCCTACAGGAGACTGAGTGCTTCATGATATATAACAAATAATGTGTGTCCGCGTGTGATAGGTCAAACTCACGCGCAGTGCAAGCTCCGAGAGGAACCAGCTAGGTTTGCGGGTACTGAATATTGCTATGCAAAACACTGGCTAGCTGGGCGGAGTGTCTGTGACTGTGACTCTGTATTCCAACTCACTTTCACGAAATTTCCCGATTCCCGCCCCGTGCCATGATTATTTGATCTGCGTTGATTTCAAAAGGCTACATATGTTTTTTACTATTTTTTTACATTTTTTTTACCAGCAGCGAAGCAGTCCAAAACATACACAAAAGCTATCAGCATGTGGGGGAGGTCGATTGGTGATTCATAGCTACGTACTTGATTGAGTTGGATAAGTGTGTGATTATATTTGTATCGTAGAAGGCATCTTTTAGAAACTGTTTCTATGCCAGGCGTAGTGGGGTACATACTGTGATTACCAACCACTCGCCCATATATGCCATAGTGTTCTATGTAGTAGGCTTGAATTTTTTTATACATTTTTTAACCAACAGCGAAGCAGTCCAAAACATACACAAAAGCTATCAGTGTGTGGGGGAGGTCGATTGGTGATTCATAGCTACGTACTTGATTGAGTTGGATAAGTTTGTGTTAATATTTGTTTAGTAGATGGCAATTTTTAAAAACTGTGTCTATGCCAGGCGTAGTGGAGTACTGTGGTTACCAACCACTCGCCCATATATGCTGGGTTGTTATTTTGGAAGGCACAGGGTCAAGGGAGATGCCCAAGAAGGTGCATAGTTTCCACTAGTACGGAATATAGGTCACGCCATCGCTTGGTAAATATAACGGTGAGCGGTGAAATCAGCGACGACCTGACCATATTGTAATATGTTAGGTTGTTATCATGAAAGGCACAAGGTCAAGGGAGCAGCCTGAGGCCACGTCATCGCTTATTAAAACGGACTCAAAGGGGGCATCAGTATATACTACACGATGTATGGCCATTTATAAAAAAGAACTGTATCAACACTCCAAAGGAGTATGCAAGCGTATACCGTTTTAATTTCCGATTTATAAACGTTTTTGAAAGTGGATTTTTAATGCCATAATTACCAATGGCTTGAATCCATTTATGTACATATCGGTGTATGCATCAGGGTTTGAATTTGACCCACTACCGACTATTATTATTAGTTTACATTTGTATTCTAATGAATTGACCCACGTCTGACGTTCCACGATCGACTATTTTTATTTATTAGTTGCCTGCTTGCCGCCTTGCCTTGCCCTACATATTTTTCTCTTTTGTTTTTGTTTGGTAAAAACAAGAGAGAAAAATAATACAAATTATTTTTAGAAGTCAGTAAAAAATATGTAAATAAATACAGAACTGAGAACTGAGAGTCTGAGAGTGAGAAGACAGCCGCACTGCTGAGAAGGCCGTGAATCGTGAGGCCCGTGAGACTGTAAATACGTAAAGCTTTGGCATTGTGTTGTTAAAAAAAATAAAAGAGTCCTGTTACCAACAGCTACATTGATTTACAATATATATTTATAAATAATCTCCAATAGCTCGTGAGGATATTTACCAAATCCAATTAAATATGCTATTTTTAAAAAATAAAAAGAATACAGTAATCCGACGATTAAGAGTCTTTGAGAGGCTGAGAGGCTGAGAGCCCAGGACCTAGAGAAAAGTCGAATTAAAATTTTCTGGAAATTACAACCACTATATATTTAAGTATATGTACGCAGTGCACTGTAGACTGTAGACCCCCGTAGTCTGGAGTCTGTACTCTGTACTCTGTAGTCTAACTCTATACGCGAGTGTATTCACGGTGTAAAGATTTGTATGTATTTGTGCCTGGGTCCTGGAGGCTGGAGCTAACCTCAAACCGTTTTCCGTTAAGACTTTTAAAAAAGCGAATAAATATGCGTTTACGCTCAACTTTTATTCCATATGCAGTCCTTGTAGTCTTATAGATGCACCTTGCGGGTCTAATTATTTGAGTGTTTACCGTTTTTACTATACAAACCAGCCCTATAAAAAGAACTTAGGTAGGCTCTCCAATCACATTATAACCGTTATAACTTTAAAAAATATATGCGTTTACGATCAACTTCTATTCGTACCCCCATAACGTAATGAGCTTAGCCCTGGAGTCTCAGAGTCAGAAAGTCTCAGATCTCTCAATTCTCAGGATATGAACCTCGGAGCCTCAGAGCCTCAGAGCCTCAGACTCAGAGTCTCAAGAGTCTCACACAACACGTCTCAAGTCGCTCAGAAGTCAGACCTCAGTACTATGTAAATATCTGCTAAATGTACAACGCTCAGTACAACAGTAGTAAGACCAATGGAATGAGAGGATCAGGGGCCAGGGTCGATTCTATTGTCTGCATTTATGGGGTTTTTTAATGCACTGTTTATTTAGTATTTTCATGACCCTCTGGCCTCTACTACTACTCTCTCTCTCTAAAGAAAGAGAGCAGGAAAAAATGGCACAACGGACTAACCACTAGCATCTGTTACCAGTAGGACCGATTTTTTTTTCAGCGGAGGATGCCATCAAGATGGCCGTGATATTTATTTTTGTTAAAATATGTAACATTTACGTCTGACAGTGAGACAGTCGACAATCTTCAATCCGACAGTATTTATATTTAGCATTGAGCTCCCCTAAGCAAATCAAATGGTCGTACTATGGTTTACAGTTTTGCGCAATTTTAAGGTTTATACTGTCAGTCACTGTGAGACTGTGCGTCGGTGACTCAGTGACTCTATAGCTGTGAGAGTAGTATACTGTTTGAGTGCTGCAATTTGCTCATCGGCAACATAGTATGTCATAGGCGAACACACATATCGCGAATATTGTCAGATGACTCCAATGTCCAGTCCCCACTCCCAAAAGCATATCATTGTATTATACATAAAAAGTAGAGCCATTTGGCGAAATTATATATAAAAAGTAGAGCCATGATATTGAGCGAGAATGTTGGTGATATTTCAGTGTTTGGAACCTACGACTCAAGAGCTAAGCTCAACAAGTTATAGGGGCACGGAATATAAGTTCCAACTTTAATGTTAACTTTTTTTATTTTTAAAAGTTCTTACTTTTATTTAGGACAAATCAACTACAAAGTTATTTTGGAAACTGCACTCAATAAGCTGTCCGATCGCTTAAAATTTTAGGCCACGACAATGATAGTAGGGAATCAAAAGAGATTGAGCGTTTCAGTTGTGACGACTGTCACCTGAGTGACCTGAAAAATGCACCTATCATTTATGGAAGGGTACTATCGAGATATAAAAGTTACAACTTTAATGTTTATTCGAGGCATATTAAAAGTTACAACTTTTAACGCATTGAGCTTAGTTCACGAGTCACAAGTCGCGAGTCGCTGTGGACTGTGGCCTGTGGCTATGAGCAGTCACTTATGGGCCTGTGGCCTGTGGGATTGTGGTTCTGTGAGTCTGAGACTCTGAGTCCTGGGAATCCGGGAGTCTGGGACTCAGAGTCTAGGGCTCCGAGTCTGGGGCTCCGAGTCTGGGGCTCCGAGTCTGGGGCTCTGGGGCTCTGGGGCTCCGAGTCTGAGTGTGGGACTGTGGGGTACAATTTTTTATCTAAAGAGTAACCGGATGACTCACAGTTTGCATTTTTTTGAATTAAAATTGATCTTGATGTATCAAATTGACAATGTGTGTGATAAAATGATTGGATGATTTTAAGCGGTGGATGCACAAAATTTCTGGCAAATTTACTGATTGTCATCACTCTTCAGTCATCACAACATTCAGTTTTCAATTTTCTCATTTCACAAGTCAATTGCCCTAGCCATTTTTTGTAAAATTCTGAAATCTAATATGTATTTACAATGATCTGGGTGATGTAAATATACAGTATCCACTCTTCTTGTTTTTTAAACCATGTATAATCTCTATTCTATAATATAAATTGGCTGTTGACTGTGAGTGTTGACTTGAAATACATGTGTATGTACGGTATTTATTGTATAAATACAGTATACATACCAGGCACAGTATATAGGACATTTTTATCAGGCCATGTCCGTAAAGTCCCACAGTTCCACTCCGAGTGACCGAGTCCCACAGTCCCATTCTCCCAGACACCCACTATGTATTTATTTACTATAAATACCTCTTGAAATGTTTTATTAATAAAATAATTAGAACTAGTAGGAGTAAATAAAAGATAGAGAGTAAAAAGCACAAGTGAAAAAGAATGGGTATGTAATGATGTATGCGTGTATGTGTCTGACTGTGTGACACTGTGTGTACAATAATATGTGCACACCTTTTTTCAGATATTTTTTAATATGTGTCGCTCTGATCTGGTCATACACCGTTGCCGTATCTCATCTATCATCACAACAAAACACTATTTACCCTAAATTGTATAAAAGGACACAATTGGCTTCATTCTTGTTCACATTCACACACAATCGCTTCTAAAAGTCAGTCGAACAAAGAACAACATGTACAAAACTGCTCTTAAAAAAGAAACCTGTGACTATCACAATAACGCTGGTCGAGTTTTTGTGACAAGTCATGGTCAGGCAACAGCAACCACATGCAACCCAACACGAGCACGCTCCCCAGGTATGGCTCTTGGCGGCTTTCAGTCACCATCGAAGAAGGCGAATAAACAGTCTTACAGCGTCGGTAGCGTCGGCAACGTTAACAGACCGCAAACAGTAGCTCATAATTTCCTAACCTACCAACGAATGGAGATGGGTGGTCTGACAGCCAAGAATTATTCAACCAGTCTGACATCTAAGAAACATACAACCAAGAAACAGACGACCAAGAAAGATACTAGTACACAACAGCCTGCGAAGTCACCAAGCTTAAAGTGGACAAGACGGAGTCTCAATCCTTTCAAGAAAGAGAAGAACTATATGGATCTGGTAGATAGCTCCATGGCCTCAGCGTTGGTGTTGTGTCCAACAGACCAGAAGGAGAAACCGTTTGATACAACAAGTCAGAGTGCTATGAGCGTGCTTAGTATCTATGTTTGAGGGTTGAAGCGGAACATAAACTGCAACCTAAAAGCTCTATAGGCCTTACACACATGCAAAAGTGCCCACTCCTATCATTAGGGGGAGTATATATTTCTCATGGTGTTTAAAGTAGCATTATGCACTACGCCAGGTTCGGTGCTGTCGATTCGTATTCGACTTCGGAGAATATCAAAGTATGATAGCAAACTGGAAATAAAATAATATATATAATCGTTTTAGTCACTGATTAGAAATCTGTCAATACATTTGTGCATCACGCTAGCTGGCAGAATCTAATTTTGTGAACTTATTTGCGTGACGCGTGTCAGTATTAGATCCAATCAACGAGTCCACAACGTCACCTACAGTGTTATACCGTTTACATCGTTATATACAAGCATATGCCACGGTGTATAGAGAGCACATACTTGCTATCTTGTGTGGGAATACTATAGACGAAATTTGCTGTGGGCTTTTGCACGTGTTCGTTGATTTTAAATACATACTGTTTCGATTAAAGTTCGTCGTTATGTCTTTCGCTTTGAAAGTAGAACAAAGTCATGAGGCAATATTGAGTTTGGCACCTACAATTCTACCTCTGTCATATCGCTACATAGTATCTTCGAAAGCATACGGAAAGGTGAATTTATGAAGTAAACCACGCATGATAGATCTCAACGAGTAAACGCTTCTAGTATTGGGAAACCGAAATTAGCGCTTGCCGGCAGTTGCAAATAGATCAGAGACAATCACAAAATTTGGTTTGTTTATGTCTATCGGAAGGTGTTCTTACGTCTTTGATTCGGCATAGTACCATATCACGCTGTACTAAAGTATGCTTCGCCGAGCCTAGCGATTTGCTTTTATACTATATATTTATTTATATAAATATATTATATTTACATTTTTATTTGATGTCTAAAAAGATAATTATTTATTATTTATGTGTTTCTTATCAGTCGCGATCTGCCCAATGGGGCGATAAATGTGAAGAAAATCTCAATTGACTGCCATCGACAATTCGACAGGGCCATCCAACGAGCCTTTTCTTCAAAGTTCAGGATGATCATAGCCTTTATTCTGACAGAAGGCTATGAATTTTAAGATTTCATCAGTAAGCAATATATAGCGTGACCAACTATATATATAGCTTCAGCTACTGACGTTATCGTTTCTCACACAAAATTAAACGCTCTTGCGCCTCTTTGCAGGTGGATATATCTGCAGGTTAGATGCATCGTTACACAAAACTAGTGTATGTAAAGTACAGTGATCAGCTAACCTTTATGCTTCCAATAAGCAGCCAGATCACACAACACTGGAGAGACGTTTGAGTACATTGCATTTGATGTACGCTTTGTCTATCGCTTACAGTACAGGCACAGGCATATACACATACTACCGTCCTTAGCGTACGAAAATACCTCGCGTACGTTTTACAGGCTACCGTTATATCTGTACTACAAGACACATATAGTCGTGCAAACAATGTCAGTTTGGATACTAGGTGTTGATCAGGAATTAGTGGACAAACTCAAGTATGTACTTGAGAAGTGGGAGGATGTTTCTAAACGAACAAGCGGTATGTCGTGTATGTGGAACGTGATAAGGACGCTATATGTTGACATCTTCAGTGCAGATCTAGCAAACCTTATGATATTCTCATCGATAGCAAGCATACTTTTATTGCCAATTGCGATACTGGTTTGATATTATAGATTATCACATTAAATCACGTACGTTCAGGCATACATAGAGAAACTATTTACA